CTTCAATTGCCCTTCTGGACTTTGGGTAACAGGCAACCTGACATTGTCCGTGATTTGCTGTAACTTACTCCATGCCATGATATTGTTGATCCAGACAGAGGAGCAGTCCAGAGCAGTTTGCTACAGGGGCTGTGCAACCCCTTGTGGGTTGCTGCCACCGCTGGAGGTGGTGAGCGGTCAAGCAATGAGTAGTGCGTGCAAAACTTTTGAGTGAGAGCAACTTTCAGAGCATTATGCTGGTAGACCAACAGCATGGCAGCACTGGCACAGGACAAAGTTTGAGAAGCCTGTTCCTTTTCATCATGGAAATAGCTTGGTGTTGACCAATCTACAACAGAGAAGACGTAATGGAGGTATCTGAAGCAATTATCCACGTGCTTTTTCTCAGTGTTGTCCATCTAAGGGATGTAGACAAAATTATTCACGGCTTCTCTGCGCAAGGTTTTCCCAACTGTGCAGTTGCCACCACTGGCATCCACATGCCCATCAAATGTCCAGTGCAGGGTTTATACGATTACATTGACCACAGGGGACAGAACTCGATTGTAGCAAAGACTTTGGTGAGGGAACACAGGAGGAGATTCACAGACTCAGATTCATAGTGTATATGGATATAAACCACAATGCCTGCATATTCCAAAATTAAATGGGAATTCCTGGAAGTTAAATGCAATATTTTAAGTATTCTTTGGAATAGAAAGAAAGTGAAAAACGGAGGGTATATACCCATCTGTACTGTGGTTCATGTAGCATAGCCACTTTCTCTCTGGATTAATGCAGCCCTGCCCAGATGCTGATGGACCATCTCATCACTTCAGCTGCATTCTGTGCACCACTGTGATGTGAAATGTGCATCTGGAAGACTTCCTTTAAGAAGTTTGTGGAACATGCTAGGTCCAATCATATCAAATACTTTGCAGATAGCTAGTGTCTGTTGCGGCCACTGCAACCATTGCTCTGATATGGGGAGATGTCGTCCGCAACTGTCCGCAATCTTCTTGCAGCATTCCCAGCCTGCTGCAACCTCTGGTAGAGAATGTGGTACCACAGAAGGTCTCAAAATCAGAGATTATAGCTCTAGATTTATCACAGAAGGTGATGATGACAGCAGAGGTCATGTGAGTGAAATTCTCAGATATTATTTTTTACCCTACGAAATCTAACTTGAAAATCTAACTTGTTTCTGGGTGTGTTTTAGGCTTAAAAATTAATTAGTTTCCCTAAATACTCTTCTTAAACATCTTTTCTGTTTCTGCTTACTCTGGCCTAGACCCTTTGACTCACAATCTACTTGATAACTCTGCTACTTCTGGAATACTGTTATATGCCTTTCTGCAACATATCAAAGCCTGTCCTTAGCCCTGTGCCGGGACATCTGCTCCTAAAACTTCTTCTGAAAGGTAAGGCTTGTACCTTTTGCTAAAAGTACTACCTGTGGGTGATGAAGCAAATCAAGGTTTGCTCCCTCTGCTGTTAAGTAAGAAGATGACATTAAGAAAACTTAAACCTAACAGTGCCTAACTGCCCAACTGTGGAATTGGACAGGGTCCCAGCTTTCTTATCCTTCCTCCCCAAAAAGAGCTTCCATTCAGCCCTCTGCTGCCCACATTACCTGGTACCACCACACAAGTGCTAATGACAGAAATATCTGAATCAAGTGAAAAAGCAGTTGAGGTTACCTAAGTACAGGAGGAAAGAGAGAATACATGCATGTAGAAAGCCATTTGTCATTTGGAGGGAATATGACCCATGTAAGGCTTCAAGAAGCAGAATTTCAGAAGGACTGAGGTTGATACGAGAGCAAGGAAGAGGTCTGGGGCCTAGGATTAAGACAGGATCGGGGACATGAAGCAGCCAGCAGGAAGCTGGTCCTTCATCAGCAGAAGGTTTGATCACCATTTGTGTGCAGAAAAAAAGCAGAGTAAACACTTCCTAAGCTGCTTGCTGCAACAACAGCAGGAAGGAGAAAAGGGGATGGAGGGGAAATGTGGTCAAAGTGTGGGAAAAGCCACACAGCACCAGGCAAGAGTAGATCTGTGCAAAGCTGGAGAAGGGAACACATGTGTATAGGAGAAGATTATGCCATATAGAAGGTAGAGAAGCAGCAGCAGATAGGAGGAGGGAGCAGGAAAAATCGGGGTGCAGGAGGCACTGGGAAGCCTTGAGACACTAATGCACTGTAATCAGCAAGGTGTCTCTGCTTCATTTTCTTCCCTTGTGTGGTCAAAAACCTCTGTCTGCTTCAATTGCCCTTCTGGACTTTGGGTAACAGGCAACCTGACATTGTCCGTGATTTGCTGTAACTTACTCCATGCCATGATATTGTTGATCCAGACAGAGGAGCAGTCCAGAGCAGTTTGCTACAGGGGCTGTGCAACCCCTTGTGGGTTGCTGCCACTGCTGGAGAGCTAGGCAGAGGATGTGTTCCTCCAGTCCCATGTCCTGCTGGATTGTGTTGCCGCAGCTGTTGACTCATTGCTCTAACAAACTTCAGAAAGCTTCCTACTGAATCGGAATGTCCCTTCACCAACTCTTGCCTTTTGCCCCACACACCCCTTCAGTAGCAATTGATTGGGATCTTCCTTATCACTCCTTGATCACCATCACCAAGACATAGAATCACACAGAATGATTGAGGTTGGAAAGGATCTCTGGATATCATCTAGTCCAATGCCCTGCTCAAGCAGGGTCACCTACAGCATGTTGCCCAGGACCGTGTCCAGAGGAGTTTTGAATATCTCCAAGGATGGAGACTCCACGACCTCTCTCGGCAACCTGTTCCAGTGCTTTGTCATCCTCACAGTAAAGACATCTTTCCTTATGTTCAGATGGAGCTTCCTGTGTTTCAGTTTGTGCCCATTGCCTTTCGTCCTATTGCGGTGCACCACTGAAAAGAGTGCTCCCAAAATTTTCAGCCCTCTCTCTCAAGAGCTTGGCAACAAAGGTGGTCTCTGAGGGAGCAGAATACCACCTCCAAGATACATGACCTGAGTTCTGCCTCCTCCATTTGTGACCTTCTGCAATCACTAATGAGGAGCTTAAGTCCAAAGGCTGAATGAAATAGATCAAGATTCAACTTTTGGAGTATTCTATAAAAAGCTACTTTTATTTTGACAATGATCACCTAAGAAAGGTATTGGTGTTGAAAATGCATGTCAGGGCATGAACAAACCTGTAGAGACCTCCAGAATCCTGTTCTTGTAAATGTGTCCTATGAGCAATCACTGCTAAAGGACCCCAGAACTGACATGTCCCACTCCATGCTTCAGTACCTTGTTTTCCCCTTTATCAACAGGGTGGGCTACATGGCACCCTGGTCCTTCTAGACAAACTAGCACGACAATCTTCCAAGGCAACTCGTGCCTCCAGGTTGGTCTCACCAGGAGAAACCCCCTACCTGCATATTGGCATCACACATAAGCTTTGCGCAGCAAATATGCTGGGGCTCAAGGAGGTCCTGCACCTAAAAAGAACCTGTGCTGTGCACTAAGCTCCTAAGACACACCTGGTATCTTACAAAGAGTTGTCCCTTTCCATTTGTTTGCTGAAAAAAGTCAAAGAAAGCAAGAGCATTTATTATCTATTCTCAATACTGCACCGCTCTGCAGAAATTGCAGCAAATGGAAGCGCTTGAACACCAGTTCAGTAACAGCATGAAATCTGTTTACGTGATATATCAGAATATAAATCTATTATGATGGTCAAAGATGGAGAAGAAAGAAAAGAGAAGGTTTCAGCTCACCCTGCTACCTAATCAGTGTAATCAGTGTGACTAGACTACAGGATTGAATCCAAATGTGCAAATGGATAAGCTAATTACAAAGGGAGCTATAGAACAGTCAGTAGGACCATTGTGTGATTCTGTGATTATTCAGTGCAACAGCTCTTAGAAGATGTAACCTAGGTGGGTCAAACTTTTGTGATTGCAGAGGAATCACAAATTCAGATATTAAAGATCTATAAAGTAAGACTGCAGCAATCTTATTTATGAATCAAATATATATATTATCATCTTTGTGCTCAGTTGTCACAAGCTAAGAAACGATTTAGGCTTTCTAGCTTGATTTTACAACCCACCAGGCATCCATGACGGAGCTGAAGTAAAACACTTAAAAGCAGAAACATTTTAACCATGTTCTGTGAAATCAAGATTCTCTTTACACCTTTAAATCTAAATGTAACAAAATGATCCCCAGAGTCTTCACTTGGAGATTTACATTATCCTCTCAACCTTTCAAGGTATATAACTTAAACATATGAGTAAATACATATTTTAAAATGTATGTGAGAAATGTCAAGCGAACACGTCTGAGGCTTCTATATAGAAGCATAATGCTTAGCAAATAATATTGTGCTATCCTTTAGTCTAACAGCAAGAGAGAGAAGAACAAAATGTAGTATGTATTTGTTACTTTTATAACAATACTTATCACAAGTGCAGTGTTCTTTACAGGTTTAACAAGGATAAATAGCTAGGTTTCTTAAAACATTGCATTAGTGAATACCAGAAAAGGAAAGTTATGGATCAGCATTTCTTGATCTTTTACTATGATATTATCTACTGATAATCTTGAGATTACTGAAACAGGCATCACTGAAATGTAACCAGACTAACTGCAAAAAGCTCTAGTCTTCAATGCCTCATCCCTAAAAAGATGGGTTTAGTTTCTTACATTTTTTCACTGGGCTGTGGAAGACTAAAATAAAAAAAAAAATACCCCTACTTCCCCACACTCTGGATTTTGAGGAGTTTGCTATCTAGAAAGATATTGCCAAGGAACACTTAAAGGAAAAACAGAACATAAAATAGCTCTTTAAAAGTCTTGTAATCTCAGAACAAAGCATCAAGATCTATTGATAAAACCAGCATCTACTTTAGTTAAAAAAAAAAAAAAATCAATCACATTAACAGAGAATTATCTCCATTCATATTCCTTAAGAGAACATTAAAAAAATATTAATGACAATGCCAACTAATTAACACGGATCACAGTTCTTACCCTGGTAACTTTTCACTAGTGTCATCTTGTTGTAATCTTCTGATAAAATGAATTCCTGGAGGAGGGAAAAGAAAGGAAGAAAAAAAACAAAGAAACAGTGCTTAGAGATGTAAAGTGTTTGAGAATGTTTTCATTCGAATTTGTTACCAGCAAAAGCTCTCTCTCCCTTTCAATTACAACAGTGTCTATACTTTTGCTAATTCTGAGTACCTCCATCTAAGTAATCAAATTATTTCACTTTTTAAAACTGCTGAGACACCACATCAAGAGTGCTTCTAAACAGAATGGAGATAAAAAAGGAATTATTAAAAAAAAAAACAACTCAAAAAAGCCCACAGAAATGGCTGGCTGTGAGTCAACCTACCGCAAAATGAGAGACCTGAAATCCAGCATACACAAAACACTTGCTTCCTTAGGACTTGGGCAGAAAGCTTGGGCAAAAATCTGCATGTATGTGTATTTGTGTGCAGCTATGTGCACAGGTGTGCATACAGACATGTGCATGCATGCGTGTGTGTGTGTGCATACATCACATCCCAACCCAAACACTTCAGAAATCCAATTTAAAAATGTAAGATCCCCAAATGTAAGATCCCCTTGAAGCCTCTTAGTTCAAACTACGTATCAATGATCCATAATGGGAATACATGTTAAGATTTCTGCTCAGCTTAAGTCTCTCAGCAGTTCAGACTAATACTAAATCTGGACTTTCACTTGATTTTATCCCACTATTGGTTAATACTTATTCCAGAATCTCAGAAACAGACTTTCTTACTTCATTACTGCTTCCTTATAGCTAACAAGCAGTTGTGCGTGGGCACGGAGTGTGGCTTAGGACAAACCCTGCTGCCTGGGGAGAGGAAGGTGGCATGACCCAACCTGGCTCGCTCCCACCGCCAGGGAAGAACACACCTATGCAGTCCTGCTGCCCTTGTGCTGCTGTTTAACTGCTGATCTCACTTTTGACTCAAGACATGACAAAAAACAGTAGCTAACAGTCTGTGAGGCAGCCTTGACTCTCAGAAAAACCCCATACGGTTAAACTGAACGAGCACCTGGGTATCCCTGCTGCTTGTTTCAAAGAGGAGAGCTACTCAAAGCAGGGGAAACACAGTGGCCACAACAAAACTCCTGCAACATTACTCTGGAGCAAATATCCAGGCAGAAGGTGGGCCATCACAGCAGCACCATCACACGAATTGGTTTTCAAACCACCATCAGGTATCTACATGCATATACCAAGTACTCAGAGAAACATAGGAAAAAATCAAGGGAGTCTAAAGACACTTCCTATTAATAATTTATAACAAACTACACAGAAATGCTCTGGTCTAACCTACCTAGGAGACAGAAGAAGTACAACTTAAGTGATTTAATCTGGAAGTAATGTGAAAATAAGAGAAATATGAATAAGATAAGCTAAATTTTAAGGCATACAGCTGTGAAATATTCATTTATAAGCCAAAAGCACTGTGCAACAATCACGTAAAAAGGACTAGGCTTTATAAGCCTACAGACTATTTCTAAAGTAAACTAATCATTTAGTGTACAGAAGTGCATAACTATCTGGAGACATGTTAACCATTAAAAAGTTGCTGTTAACCTTTAGTTTTCAAAATGGAATAAAGTAAGTCACTCTACATTTTCTGTGGGGTCACTGTAGGCAATCAGTACCACCAAGGCCGTCTTGCTCCAGGCAGCCACTCACAGCTTTCCAGCACCAGGACTATCCTACTGCATCTGATGTCCTGCTTAGCACCGATGTGGAGAGGCTGCCCTGCAATATTGATCTACTGGACATCTACAGACCCCAGCTTCTGGGAAAACAACTGTGACTGAGTTGAGACACGTATGTATTTTGCTGTTTCTAGGTTTCTGCTTATAAGCTGGCTATAAATATGTTCTCATGAATTGCTCTACTTCATCTTCTGTTGTTTTACTCTAATCCACCTCATATCACCCTAGCAGTTGAAGACTACAATGGAGAGTGTTATTTGAACAGCGGTAACAAATCAATTAAGTCAGCTGGATTTCTGTACCAGGGTCATCTTGACTTTAAAAATCATGGAGCGTTAAAGATCTGCTATACCTCCTTATCTGCTTATTGGGGAAAGTAGTTTTCATTAACCATTGCCTGAAGAATCCTAAACTACCACATGAAATGCTTTACTACAATGACCACTTGAAGCAACATTCTTTGTTATGAGAATATTAACTTTCTGCTGTTGCTAACTGAAGAGAAACAGCTTTAACTGCTGCAACACACAGTACGAGAATACGTCTGCCTTTGCCACCAATTCAGATGTCCTGGCACTAACCCCAAACTTCACTGTGACGACACACAGATACAGGTGACCAGAACTTCAGGCAGGAGAAAGAATGTAGTTTGCATTCTCATTTTTCTCCTGGCATTTTGCCGTTAATAAATTTGACATGACCATCTTATTAAGATATCTTCAGTGGAAGACTGAAAAGGCTTTTGAATATCTCTATTTATTATTGAAGTATAATGCAAAGAATTAAGCACAACAAGAATAGTAATGTTCAGCCAAGTATTGATTACCTACATATGCTTAAATACAAAATGCACCTATTTACTATTGGCATACCACTCTTCCTAAAGAGAAAAAGGAAAGAACTGGTTTAAGATGTCTGTAACACAATACAAAATAAATGCAGTTCCATTAGCCCGAATACTCGACATCACTTTTTTTTTTTTTTAAAAGATTTCTCGCTTTTCCTTTCCTCCTTTTAAAGTATGAGTTACTTGGAGATACATCTCCCTGTTTTGCATTTTCTAATCTTTCACCAGCTTTTACTTCCTGCTTCCTTTTACATCATCACATATTCTTCCATTGCTTTTATTCCCCTATCCCTCTCAAGGCCAAATGTATTAATTGCTTCCATGGACAGGTATTTTAACACAGGGCACCTTGCTCAAGAAATTCATGCCCAATTGCACATTCATTGTGCATCTGCACCACAGAAATAACCGACCGCATCTCTTAAAAACATGTTACCAACAGAGAGAGGTGTTTATCCTTCCATACATAGATATTTTGCTCCTCGCAAAGCTGCTGACACTCAGTTCTCATTAGACAGCTGTTTGGCTCTTCTTAATGAGCTAGAAAGGCTGAGGTCACTCACTCAGCTCAGTCAGTGCTTGTTTTTTAACAGAACAGAGAAAGTCCTATCACACCTTTTGCACAGGAGGTAATGGGAATATTAGAGCACCTAGGATGGCAAAACCAAAAATCTTCCTCTCAGGGATTTATAAACATTTTTCTGGCAAAATTTTTCTTTGCTCTTCAGTTTTTTTGAAGTGACTTTGCTACCTTCTTTGCCATACTGAAAATGTCAGTTATCAGTCTCTGCTCTTTAAGGTAAGCTTATTCCATTAGTGACTTGGTACTATGAAAGCCTTCACAAAGCAGAAAGGTGTTGAGCATCTGAAAAAGACTGTCCAGTCTGGTGCCCGCAATATTTGTACATGAAGACTCTTAGTTATACCTTCATGGAGTGCACCTTCCTCACATATACACCCACCACCCACAATGAGTTTCTCCTGTTGAGTCTATGACCACTGAAAATCCTCAGCTTGGAAATGATCACAGAATCACAGAATCGTTTAGGTTGGATGGGACCTCTGGAGATCATGTAGTCCAACCTCCCTGTTCAAGCAGGGTCACCTAGAGCATATTGCCCAGGATCACATCCAGACGGCTTTTGAATATCTCCAGCGAAGGAGACTCCACCACCTCTCTGGGCAACCTGTTCCAATGCTCTGTCACCCTCACAGTGAAGAAGTTTTTTCCAGATACCAGTATCCTGTCTCAAATGATTCCTATTAAGGTAAACAAAACCTGCACTCATGTTGTGTGCCACCTCAGACTCCTCAGGGCCATGGGGTTGGCTGATATGACCCAGGGTCTACAGGACACCCACACCCTTCAGGTGGACATGAAGTGAGACATCCCAAAATGTCTCTGGAGATCTCTGCTTAGGCAACTGAATTCCATCCTAAGGGTCAATAACCTTTATATATTACCTATGTCTTACCCATTCACAGCCTAGTTTGCAAACCAAGGAATTTACAATGTATACTGATAGATGATGCCATTTTCCAGGAGTCCTCTCCTTTTACAAAGTCAAAGTGAAAATGCAGAATGTCAGTACAGAGCCTTTTTGCCCTGCACTCAGCATATACAAGGATGCTGAGCGTTACCAGAAGTGAACCAGAAGCGTATGGGAACAGCTGACCAATTCCGAAATACCGAGGCTACCAGAGGAAGTTACCTGTACTTTCCTTTGAGGTCACAGAATTAAAAATGAGTGCCCTAAGATAGTAAGTTCTCTTATTTTGTGGTTAGAGTGCCCTATTTGCATTTTCTTGTCTAAACTGATCATCATCATATTTGTGCCCAGGAAGGAAAATTTTCCACTTCCTCCAGAAGGCAGTTATAGCCTGCTTCCAAGTGCCTGGGAATTCTTTTTCAACACCCCAATACAGCAAAGACTTGAATATGGGGCCACCCTTTCCTTTCTTCTCTCCTCCATACCTCCACCACTTCTTGTAGCACATTACAGTTGCGGCTTTTCTTACAAGTGTTAGGTTTGCTACAGAGGGATGTAAAGCATTTTGCTGCTCACGGAAGTTTGTGGAGCATGCGTTCTGTACAGTCTTTTACCACACAGCTGCCTGCGGCTATGGGCGACTAAACCAAGCAACACAAGCAAGCCAACCCCCATAAATACTTGTATCCAGAACAAAGGAAAAAAGCACAGCTTGGCAACAGATAGGATCTGCTTATAGACACAGCAGTATAGACTAATAAATACCCAAAATCGCATGTTGGTTTACCACCCACGTATTTAATTTACTGTCTTAGCTTTAGAATGGAAAATATTTGACTCCATTCAGACTCAAGCACCTTCCCACTCTTCAAGGCAAAATGCCCTGAAGACAAAGGACACATCTCTTACATCAAGCCAGAGCATTTAAATACCTTCTCCTTTATAGTCGCTTTCACATTCTTTAAAGGGCTGGTGAAACAAATGTGCCTAGCAGGACTGGCAATCTAATGCTATTTCAAAGAGTGGGAAGGAGGGAATTTCAGAGGTGCAGAGAATTCTCTGGCAGCTGTCCCATTGCCTAGATACAAAAACAGAAATCTCCTATGGGCACCAAAAATCTCTGTTACTGAGCCATTAATAGCTTGATAGGTCAAAACCTTCACATCTTTGATATAGCTCACAGGCAACAGCTAAAAGGGTCATACATCCTCTCCCAAATACCAGGCTGACTTTAGTGCAGACAGCTGCCCATGTATCAACCTGCAAACAAATTAATTTAGTTGTAAAGCCTGTAAGGCAGAGACACCAGTAGTAAGAGACTGAAACAGTGGTAAAAGGTTCTTCAACTGAAAGAGGAGCCTATTGATCAGATATAGGTGAAAAACACCTCTCCGACCCACAGCTCTCGTCTATTAAGTAATATAGCTCTTAGCCAGTCACCCTAGAAGACAGATCCAAGGAATAAGGTCAACTGCTACTCTCTGTCCCAAATCTGAAAGGCAGAATCCTGTTTTAATATTCTGTCTACTTTCCATGCACACAGATCCTCTTAGATGTTAATGAACCAAATCTTTCAGCAACAGCACTATCAATTAGGAATAGCTCCTTCAAAGGAAGTGAGATGAAAACGTAAAATCTGAACCACAAAGTTTGGAAAAGCAGCTAGATTTGGATTCAAAATCCTCCTTCTGCCTCTCAGAAGATGATTTTTCTCCTCTTAATTGCTGCTTTCAGAAAACTTTGGTATGGCATGATTAACAAGGCACTCAAATTTAATAAAACGACAGCTGTTTTTCTATGTTGTTATTTTTAAGAGATATGCAAATTAAGTCAGTTTGTTTAGATCTCTAATAAATACTGTAAAATCCACTCAATATCTATGTGGCAGTCAACATGAAATTCATAATAAACTTCCATTTTCTACACTACAGCTTCAGTTCTACTAGCAGTAAAATTTCTCTCCCCAAACACTAACAAAAATATCCTCACCACAACATCACACACATACTTCTCAAAAGGGAAGCATTTCAACTAGAAATCTTTGTATGTACTTACTGAGATTGTACCATTGTCTAGACCTATGGACAGCCTTCTGGTTTCCGGGTTAAAAGACATGCATGAACATGGAGCTGAAAAAAATGAACATGTTGATGAAGTTAACAAAACCATGATCCTCATTATCTTGAAGTTCTGGAAAGCCTAAAACTAGCTAACACGCCTTATGACAGTGTTCATCATTTCGCCCCTTCCAAGCATTAAAAAAAGCGTTCTTGCAATTCATTCAACCCTATCCTATTAGGATATGGAGTAACAGCTACCTATTTGCTCCAGTTGCCTCATTTTTTCTTGCTGAAGCTTTCTGAAAACTGCCGTGTCATACAAGAGCAGTGGTGGTATCTTCATATGAGAGACACCGGACATTCCAGTATGAATCTGAGAGATTACTTAACAGAATAATTTAGCTTCCTACATTTGCCTGAACTTTACTGACAATAAAATAAAACATTTTGTTATGTCAGAGGTTTGCATCTTATACCTGGAGTAAGAAAGTTAACTCATAGGTATCCCAGTCACGACTCTGGATCTCCTACTCTAGTTTTGCCACAGACAACGCTCTTATAGTATCATACACTATGGTCAAAATAAAAGACTGTTGAAAGTAGACATTGTTTTCTTACACCAATATTTCTCTATAAACATCAGGATATACTCTGAAATTGCATGCAGGTAAGTCATATTATGCTCTCTTGAGAATCAGGTGAAGTTCACATGCCAGGGCAAAACCAGAATTTTGTAATAAGAGCTATGTTTAGTTTAACTGAGAAATTGTGAACTTATATTCAGCAGGCAGGGATTGTTTTAATTACTTAACACAGCAGCATGCAGCTGGGTGTCTTGCTGTCCCAAAAGAAAACTTCAATAATAATTTTTCAGTAGCAATTGCCAACTGTAGCTAGGGTCAGAGAATCTTGCCCCTTCTGTAGTGGCAAATTTCTTAAAAAACATATTCTTGTACATAGAGTCCAGTCAGATATGCTTTTAGTTCTGCTTTTTCCCCTGTTGGTTTCTATTCTCCATTATGCTTATTTGTAGTGTTCTTGTTACTAACTAGCTGAGTCCTTCCTTTTGCAGTACTGCCTATCTGGTATATTCTTGACTTGCATAATGTCTCACCCAGGATTGAATGGTCCACAGCTCAGCAGATCATCCTCAGTTTAGTTGGCAGCAGAGCTATACGAAGAGGAGGAAATCCTGTGTTGGCTATTAAATAGAAATCGCTGTACCCTCTGTACTGACTCCCCCTTCAAACATTTCCTGCAGGATAACCAGTAGCAGGCAGAAAACCTACCAGATTCCCATCCCATCAGGCAGCTCTCTTTATTCTTTCCTTTCATTCCTGGAATGACTGGCTCAATTAAATCAGAGAAAAAGCTTCAGTCTAAGCAAATTGTCATAATGAAAACACTTCAGTTAGGGCTACTAACAGTGTTGAAGTGCTCCTCTCTATACCCCCTCCTCAGAAAAGGTAAACCTGACTCTTCAGTTTCACCTGCTCTTCAGACGGTGGTGTTGTAGTGGAATGAGAACATTAAAAAATACCTAATAAAGAAAAACAATTCTAAGCAGAGTAAATATCAAATCCTTTTAAAGGTGCTTAATGCTGTCATAATCTGTATTTTAGCTGTAAAAAGCTAGACTGTGCACACATTGAAAGGACAATTAATATATCTGAAGACAATTAATAGCTCATAGAGAAAACCTCTCAGGTAAATCAGCTATTTGAAGTATGTTTTTCCCAAATAGCCTGAAGTACTTAAGACACAAAGGTGCAAGCAATTGCTTGAGATGGGCTAATAAAAAAAAGCACTCCTGTGCTCCAGACCCGTGCGTACATAAACATAGCAGTGTAAAGACACTTATTCTGCTATAATCATTTTCCTAAGGGAATTCTTCAGTAACGTACTCTTGGAGAAATCATTACGTCAGCACTAAAATTATGCCCACACTAGCTACAGCAATGTAGTTAAAGCGATATCACTTGTTGCGACATGACTGCAGCAGCTTACGCTTTAGTAAAAGTTAGACAACGACATTCCGATATATAAGCGCTTAGGCTTATTAAAAGGAGAGCCAAAAAAGTGTGCACGTGTTGGGGGGCACCCAAGCTAATGAGATTTAGGATCCTTTGAAAATAACAGCCAGAAAAATATTAGCACTCTGAAGGCCCTCTACTTTAGTGCCTTACTATGGTTTGGATTTCAGAGTGGAACAAGATAGGAGCCCCATAGCTGCTACATAGGGTGGGGAGGATATTCCTCCTGCAGAAGTTTGGTTGTATTATTCCCCCTATATACAGGGCAAATATACACTGATGCTCTGATTTTTGCCTTTAGAAACTGAATTACGCAGGAATAATCCAATTATATACTTCATGTTCCCAACAGCCTGTCACCTCTATCAGAGGATGACAGAAGTACAAGAGAAATACACACTCTGCATCTGCAGTTGGAGGCCTCCCACCTTGGAAGTGTCTAGAAGTGGTGCAATTTCAGACCTAAAAAGCACATATTTGCCTTCGCACAGGTTTTTACCCTCCTCTTCAAAGCAAAGTGTAACCTATGAAAACTATCATAAGACAGGTAGTTTATTACCCGCCTCAAATACTGGATATTTCACTGTTCCTCATTACAATAAAGCCTTTTCTGAGTTCTGCATTTGAGAGAGGTTTTTCCTTGGGTGTGTTTTTTTCTGGTACAGCGTACTACTCTCGACTACAATACCTTTCCTTTTCGTAACTTCATGCCTATAAGCTTTTTATCTCCTGTACAGACACTACCCAAAAGTTTAAAGGTTACAAGTCTAACCATTGGGAGGATTAACCAGCTGTTCAGAGGTCCTTTGTTAATACAGCTGCTGAGACAACTCTGACATGAAGGTGAAGCGTTAGCCAAGTTTCCAGCTTACCTGCTTTGCTTTATTGATGATTTAAGAGCATGACTTTTCGATACTGGGTTTGTTTATGCTGGTTTCTAAAAGCAGATCAAGGTCTGCCATTGGTTCAGTACTGATAAATACAACCTACCTCTAGCCCCTGTGACCACGCTCTGTGCCGGTGCTCTCAAAAAGCCTTTTAGTGCTAAACGCTGCTATGGAGCTCTGGCTGCGAAAGGCAGCAAAAGACCACAGAAATAATAGCCCCTGGGATTTTTCATCACATGCTCTCTGCAAAGGCCTGGCTATGCAGAGATCTGGTTTGAAAGGATACTGTTGCAAAAAATTCAGCCACTAGCTCTTTCTCTCTCATGTGCTACCGGAGATTATCAAAAATGTGATCGCTATGTTGTTCGCAGCTTTACAGTCACAGAAACATCCGCAGGCAGGGCATGAAACGTCATATTTGGGAAACCCCACCTCTAAAGAGCAGCAAACATCCCCAGTCGAAAGCAATCTACAGTGTTATCTTTCTTCCAGACATTTAATGGCTGTCACATTCAGAATGCCCTGGTGGCGCCATTTGGGTGCAGAGCTCATCCAAAGCACACAGGTGACTCAGACCAGCACCTCATCCTCCCCATCTCACAGACTGCCTATGCTGCAAATCCAGCTTTTAAGACTACCTCGGAACAAATTAAAAAACGGTGTAAGCCTTGCAATGCTGCAACCAAAGTCATGAGTCACACTAATGGGGTAGCAGAGGTGGGACTGCAAATTTCACAGTTTGCTAGCAGCACCAAGGCAGCCTCGTGCCTAATGCGTTTTTTACAAAAAAACTCTAGACAGTTATTGTTCTCTAGACAACAAAAAATGACATGAACCTACAGGAGAAGTCCATCAGAGAGATGATCCACACACAAGCAGACAAAAAGATCTTTTCCAGTACAGCGCAGACTGGTGCAGAGACTGACTCAAGAGCTCATCCTGTGGTTTCCAGATTTAAAGCCATGGCTGAAAACAATTTAATTGGCATTGCTCCAATCTCTAATTATACCTAATCATTCTTGAAACTAGTGATAACATGGCATAATTTTAATGTCTGATGACTCGAAAATTTACCAACCTTCTAAGCAAAGAAACACTTAGGTACTTAAAGTCATGAAGAAGCTTTAAAATAACATCCTTGCAGTGGATCTGGGGCCTACTCAAACATGTCCAGTGCAACTGCTGTTACTGGCAATAATGCAGCTTCTCTAAGTCTGGAGGAAGAGCTAACAGGATTTTAAAATGCAAATGCATGCAAAAACACCACATAGAAAAAGAGAAGCATCAGTGCCAAGTTGCTAGAAGAGCCATTTCACAACAGTTGGATTGGAGAAAGCAAATCTCTGCAGTCAGGTTAAGAGAACCCTAGGCCACTGCTAGCGAATGTGGCAGAGCTCTGCAAGATAGCCACACCTCTAGTTAGTTTCTAATACCTTTTTCAGCAAAAAATTGAAGAGAAAATACCTTCAAGGCCTGATATATTCTCATAAGCTTGCTCATGGCAAAAAGGAAGAAGAGAGATCCTTTTCTCTGTTTACCAAACTCATGCTTCCTTGGAGCAGGCAGTCAAACACTGCGGCCACTCTAGGGCCTCAAGTTTATGTCACCGTGGAACCAGAACTGTTTCAGAGCTATATCTATTAAATGTCTTATGTATCATGGAGACAGATGCCATCTTCCAAATATAGTTGTGTTACCTTAATATACTACTTTCTTCGCACAGCAGCGATGTCTCAGTGGAGCTGGGGCTAATCACAGAATCACAGAATCGTTTAGGTTGGATGGGACCTCTGGAGATCATCTAGTCCAACCTCCCTGCTCAAGCAGGGTCACCTAGAGCATATTGCCCAGGATCACATCCAGACGGGTTTTGAAAATCTCCAGGGAAGGAGACTCCACTACCTCTCTGGGCAACCTGTTCCAATGCTCAGACACCCTCACAGTGAAGAAGTTTTTAATGCTGACATAAGGTCAGCAGCTTCATCAGCTCACCAAAGATGGACTAACCCAGCAGTATATTTGAAGCTGCCCGAGGAGCACCTGTTAAACTCCTCATAGTGAGCTGCATGCTCTTCAGCATAAGGGTTATGACAAACAGCCAGGAAAGTGCTTTCTTCAACTATCTGTTGGAAAAAATGGACGGTTATCTGCGATTTCTTTAAATCATGAACACCCTCTTTGGGAGGGGAGACATACAGCACATCATACTGGCGGGATCCATCAGATAGACTTGGTTTTCCAGATCTGAGCACGGTAAAAAGCTTCTGCTCCTTCACTGGAAGATCTGCTTTCTCTACTAGTAACCTCCTCTATCATATTAGCTACTGGATATTAAGTTCTTATCAAATAAAATCATTTACCATTGCATTCTAATGGACTGAGCACATGCAGGGGGAAGGGCAGAGTGATTTATACTGCAGACTTATAAACCTTTACGGACTCTGTTAGAGGCAGAATGCAAGGCTGCATTTTGAGCTCCAGCCTTTGTCGATCTGCTTTCACATTTAATACTCATCCCTTGATGTAATATTTGTCTCCTGCCACTACTCTACCTCTTATGTTTCGGAAGTGCAACCTTTACCCTCTCTCTACTGCTGGATTCTCCCTGTGAGGATTTGTTCTCATCCGTTTTTTCAATCAGCCTTACCCTGCCCTGTGCTAATACCCTCCACTTGCATTTATCCTATTGCTTCTTGCCACTTTCCCTTTAGTGCCTACTTAGCCCACTTCAGAGTACCCACATCTATCTTCACCACATGTTTCACCAGCTCCTAAAGTCTTTATATCCATGTTGCCATTTTGCATGGCACACTGGTAAGAGACTGTACTCCAACCTTCTCTGGTACTGGGCCTTCCTATAAGAGAAGGGCACCCCATCTACCAGAGGTTTCCTTTTCCCACTTCAAGCACAGTGTCTAATCTAAAATATAGACTGCTGTAGGTAAATGCTGTGCTGCATTAAATGCTTGTAAAAATAATGTTACTGGCACTTGGTAAAAAAGGACGTAAGAGGTAAAAATAAAGCAGTAAAAATATCACATAATTTACATTGAATTTTAAGACATGGGATTTTGTATTAGTACGCAACTTGGTAAAGCTTCACAGCAGCTGAAAGGATTGTTCAAGCAGAGTATTTAACAGGGAGTGGCAAGCGTGGAAATGGTCATAAACATGAAGCTTCATCAAACCCAGCAAAATCATTTTGCCAATACATAGTAGACAATGAACTTATACTTACATGGCATTGCATGGTATATGCTTGGCCAGTACTGCCCACTGTCTCTCTTCAGCCACACACGAACTGTTCTACAAAAGAAAAAAACACAATAGATACGTGAGGAAGAATTAAAAGGTAACCATGAAAGAAAACACTGTGGTGATGAGGAATGCACAAGACCATCCTTGAAATGAAATGATTTTGCTCACAGGAAAAATAAATATGCAAATTCCTAGAGCAGCCCTATACAGCAGCCTCAGATTAACCTCCATAAGGTTATGAGTAGCATCTTCCTTGGTACTATGCAGGCCTCAACATCTCAGCTGAACTGCAGTTCATTGACCTCTCAGATGAGGATTTGGGACACACCAGAAAGCCCAGCAAAGCACTCCTATATCACCTGTCCAGCCTCCTACTTCGCTGAATCCCTCCCCCTGCTTTCAAGGTAGGCCTGGGTCCATCTGCCCCCATCAGATGTTTCTATTGAAACTCTTCCGTAACTTTATCAGCTAATTTTATCAAAACATGTCTAATACTAGTATCACCAATTAAAGCAGCAAGCAACCAGTCCCCAATTAACCTCAGCAGTAATCTCCTACTTGTTCCTGCATAGCCCACTGTCATCCCTATTTCAGTCAACTCCTACCTCCCTTACATTTCTTCAAATCCTTATTATCTCTAATTTTAACCAGTAATCCTCGTATATAATACTGTATTCTGTATGTAGCTGATTCACACTGAATGTATTAACCTTATCTAGAAAATTTAGTTATCCTAGACAGCATCTTGCTAACGGAGCCCAATACGTTTCAGCTCATACTGCCCATGTCAGTTTATTCTTTTCCCCTAAAGTTAGCATGCAATGGTAGTTACAAGTGGGATCTAAAAAACTATTGTTAACTGCAAGCCTTATTCTGTAGTAGCAAATCTATAACTCATGTATGATAGCATTAAGAAAACAAACAAATAAGAATGACTCTTTCCAGCTCAGGAAACATGGGGAAATACGGCATGTGGAGAGGGCTACGTGGTCCTGTTGTTATCTCTTTTTCACAGAAAAGCAGATTTCAACCTTTACAGCCGGTAAAAGTTTAGAGCAATAATATTAATTGAACTAAAATATTATATAAGCAAATCTAGCGTCATATGACATAATAGAAGTAATTTGAAAATCAGTTATCTATCCTTTAAATACATTAGTATGCAAATGTAAAAAAAAAAAAAAAAAAAAAAAAAAAGAGGGCTGCACTAATGTGTTCCTCCTGGATTGCATATATCCAAAACCAGTCTTCTACTCATCCTGCCCTGCATCCAAACTGATTTTTCACCAATAATTCAGAGACCTGCATATCTGAGCACTACACAAGGTGCACTGTTTTAGTAACAAAGGCCTCATACACACACTTCGAGACTGTATGCTGCTCTAAAAAGTAACGCTTCGCTGGGTAAGCAAGTGCCAGTGTTAGAAGGCTCTCACAAATTGCTCAAACATACACAATTCAGTACGATTACCTCCTAAGTCTAACGGCCCTTTTGAAACAAACACATCAGCAGGACCTCAGCACAACTGAAAGAAAACTACTAATACTTTTTTGGGGATGACTTAATTGGCTGATAATATTACTATCATATTGCAGATAGTGAGATGGTCAAATCCTTCTGTCGTTTCTCACTTTAGATAACCACACCATTTGTGTACCAACCTCAGCACAAAGCTCTGGGAATATGACATCCTCCTTTTAAAGCCTGCAGCCACAGGGTTGTAACCCCAGGTCTGGGACATGGTCCAGTGCGGCTTGCTAAAAAGGTGGTCACTGTGATTCTGGAAATGGATCAACCTCTCCGTTCCCAAATAGACAAGCTCTTATTAACATGTTTATCCTCCACAACTGAAGTAATTGTGGAAGAGAAAGTGCATGTCCAAAAATATAATGGGATAAGTCACAGGCAACTGAAATCACTGCATTTAATCTGAGATGTCTTTCTTGGCCTCCCAACCTATATATTTCAGTGCTACCGGTTTCAAAACTCCCAGGCTTGGACAGACTGCCTTTCTCTTCCACTTTAAGGTTCTGGCAAATAACAAATCCAGTGACATAAAACATATTATAGATTATTATTCAACTTGTCAAAAAAAAAAGACTATTTATAAAACAAAACTTTCAAAAGCTGAAGGAAATAAAAATCAAGTTTATTTGCAAAAAGGGCAATAATTCAGATGCTTTGAGGGTTTTTTTAAACTGCACCCACTGAAACAATATAGGCTTACTACTTAATTTGAAAATTATGTTAATGTTAACATTGCTAATAAAGTTACATTGAAACAAAACATCTTTTGCTTAAGTTAAAGAAAAATAAAAAATCTGGTAGAGGTTGTTTGTTAAAAGTGAAAACACTTTCACTGTTCTGGGCCTATTCTGTAAGTACATAGTATGTTCCTTCCATTTCTTTACCTAGTCATATGTATTTCAATTCAATGACTAATGCATGCAAAATAAGAAACAAATTAAAGGAGGAAAATAAGTAAAAAAAAGAGTAAGTAAATATCTAAGAAAATAATGATAAGTTTAATTTTTATATTCTAAGAACGAGTATGAAAGGACGTTATCTAACCCGAAGGTGTCTGCGAGGCAACATAATCAGCAAGTCAGTTCATGTAACTCATTAGAGAAATACTTCTCTCCTCAGTAAACCATTTCAAATGAAGAAAACCATTAGAAATTTTAAACTTTTATTTTTAATAATCAAGGACAGTTACGGTAAGCATCTCTAAAACAACTATTTAAAAGTTAAGCATTACAATGAAATTCCAGTATTTAAGCATAAGTTGAAATAAAAGTGTAAAAATTCTTACTTAGGTCAGAAAGTGATGGATTATGATTTTCTTCTATTAGATCCCTAGATTAGACAGAGCCTTTTATTGAAAGAAGGAAAACTGACCTCAGTTCATTAACCTTTTCTGGGTAAGTAACATGTTCTCTGAGGAGACTGAGGCCGCAGAACACACTGCTAACAACTGAACCTGGCAGATGCCAAGTGCTGATAGGAGACAGCGTCTTTTTCTTGACTGCCTTTCTGCACATTTTTATATACTTCCTAACAAAACTAACACCTACTAGAAGTAAAACATAGAGCTTTTAAAGTCTCTAAGGAAAGCCAAAAAAAACCCAAATGTGAATAAAAATGTACTTATTAAGGACATTTTGCAGGAAGACTACTTGCTGGCTGAGCGGTTACTGAACTGCAACACCAAGTCCCCACCCAGGCAGCTCCACTCGTCAGCTGCTCTAGAACGAATCACGAGGCATCTCCATGGCCATGCATCGTCCCTTTGGCCTCTCCACTGAACTGGCTTGCACAGACTTTGCGAACCTGTCAAATCAACAGATACTTTTCTAGTGCTTTCATAACAGAGATGACTGATTTCATCTACAGATTTTTTTTAAACAAGACAGACTACATCAAAATAATTCCACCACGCAAAAGACAGGCTAACTCCTCATATATTAGGTGCATGTGAAAATATACATTTTAAAAGAAAAACTGCTTCTACCTGTTATGCCCAAGGGTATGTGTCTCAAGTCCAGGTGCCTGTGGTTTTGCCAGCAGGTCTCAAACATCCTGTGGGGCTGCATACTGTGCATGAGGTACATCTTCACTTGCTCAGATGTTATTCACACTACTGCTGAGGCAGCGCCTATGGCAACAGCAGCACATACACCTCAGCACGGCAGCCCTGCACTTAATTGTCATCTACAGAAACCGATTCAATCAGTTATACATAACATGGTATCTTCTTTCTGATGATTAAGATATTTTGCCTGTAGAAATCCTACTTTGCGCATTTAGCCTGCAGCGTGCCAAGAAATATGAATCTGCACAATGCTGGTGTGCATGCGGCAAAATTCTCTGCTCAGGCCTTGTTCCAGCCTGAGGCTCCTGCTGTCTTGCTGCTGGAAAAATGGGTGCCACTCTGAGCTGTGGGGTTGAGCCCTGCAACTGAACCATAGGCAGGATTCCTGTCTTTTATTCTTGGTGCTTTACGTGAAGTTAAGGGAAAAATTATGCTGCATGCAATACAGACATACCTAAGACGTCTAAGCACTGTCTATGGATGCTTGCATGTTGCAATACTGTGACCTTTGCCTTAGGGAGATCCAATACCACCATTAGATGGAGATATCCACTAGACTCTAGTTCTCCAGGATATCAATATAAACACTGGGTCTAAATATGCTGTGTGAGTAAGTAAATCTGATGTATCAGTTTTCTAAAACAGATCCCCTCTCCTTTTTTGGAATGATTTCCTTCTTCATTCCTCTCTCCAGAAATGTTTAAAAATTTCAGTTCACTCAGATGTACTTGTATAACACAGTATTGCCTTCATGCCCCAGACATATACTAGCTGCCAGCTATACAATCAAACAAAGGTCACCCTCATCACACAGAATTTACTATAGTATTTTTTAAGTATCCTTGGGCTTCAGGAACCTGTTTTAAATAGCATTTTAACATATTCATCATCTTTTATACCTTAGACCATATAGAAGACAGTTTTTAAAATTTCAGACCCTTTTTAAAATTTCAGATTATCTGAATCATTACTATGATCATGTTCATTAATACTTAATTAAGTTTAATTAATCTGTTGCCTTCTTTATCCAAGGGACACGTGTTATCATGAAATACACAGAAATATTTGGGGTTTTGGTGAGACATGGGGACATCATACAATTCTGTCGGTAAACAGCAGATGTATTTGCAACATTTCCTATCGTCAACTATGTTCAGTTCTTTACAAAAAAATACTGATCTTGCTGAGCCAAATACCCACAAACCAAAGAGGATAGCTGCAACATGGGAGTTTCAGTCCCATCCCCATAATAGCCACCAACCAGACAAATTCTAAGTTAACTTCAAGGAGATTTCTGCAGTGTGTTTACTGTTTGATCCCATTCCAGCTTTCCGACAGACAAATAATGGGAGGGCCCCAAAATTGCTTCATTTTGAATGGTAACAAATACACTTTCTTATACACATACATATACACACACTAAAGAAACCCCAAAAACCTCTTGTCAAGCATCCT